CAGCAATGAAAAATATTTGTTGGTTCAAAATGAAATATTCAACACCATTGATGATCGGTTTTCGGTACAATACACTGAGGTTTGAATTCAAATGGACGTATCGTGTTGGTCAACCCGAAGAGAGAACGTTCAAAATGGAATTGCCGTTGTAGTCGAATGACATTAGGCTTATGTATATACGTATAAGTGTGTGCGTATATGAAATTGGCAAAGGCCATATAATTTTTCTCACGTATAACCAAAGCAACCATATAATAGTAATAATAATAATAATAATAATCATAACAGTTATGTATGTATAAGAAGTCAAGTCGAGTTATGCAGTGCGTGGGCAATATTATGAGGGAAAAAGGGACGCAATGCGTCTGTTTCGGACCCGCCAATTTTATGTGACTTTTAAAGGGCACGTATATCCGTTTCTCTAGCTAGCAAGAAATAGGAAATGCTCCTTTAGACGCAATCATAAAATACATATATAAAGTTGTACGAAAAAATTTATTCAAAACGCCCCTCCTTCAGCCAACCACCGTCGCAGACCAAGTACGGCGGTAAAAACATGGAAAGGTGTAGGTATGCGCACACGTTTTACATATTGCTAGTCCGATCACACGATAACCTTTTCTAAGTATCATGGTAAAACAATACTAGAGGTTTTATACCACATTTCAATCCCTTGCCATGCCTAACCTAACCACCGCTCTTCATCGCATGTTTTTATTGTCTTTTGTGCAGACAACGGACACAGATGTCACACGTATACCTCACGCTGCTCACGTGCAATTTCCCAACACAATTTATAAATTCGTATTATCCATCAAGCAACGACGTCAATAATGATAATTATTGTCATAAAAATATATTTAGAATTTTTTTTTTTTTAAACACTTCAATATTAAAATCCGGACATGAACAGAGATACGAGGCAGTACGTGTGTAAAACTCATATTGAATTCAACACTTCACCAGTATAGGTAGTGCGGTTGTATTTTATTGTTTTAAAATATTAGTGTGAAAAATATATAATTTAATAATGAAAATGGAGAAAAGAAGAATGATAAAAACGCAGGTGACCAAGAACTACTCTTAGCTATTCTATTGATATAAGGTTTAGGTTACAATTTCAGTTGTACTAATTGTTCCACAATTTGTGTAGGTAGTTTTTCATCAGGTATTGCTTAAGTTTATACTTAGAGAAAGTACTAGTACCTACAATTTTACTTTGGAAAAAATTCCCCAGTTAAACGACATATTTTACAACAAGTAGTGTTAATAAAAACTTTTAGAGCACTTGTTTCAATAGTAATAAGTGATAAGTGATAACAGCAGTATAAAATAAATAAAAATAAAAACTGTTTGTAATAGGTACTAATACATTAATTTATCGTTTCGCTTAGAATTAAAAATCAGCGTGAAACGTGTAAAGTGGATTATACATTTTTTGCATTTTAAAACGCATACAATTCGTTATTTTATTTTAAACAAATTGAAATATTCTCTACTTTTTAATGCAATCCATCATATTTTTCGATTAAACCTTATGTACTTATGTTAAATTAGAAAATAAATTCAGAGAAAATTTAAATCAAGCAAAAATATATTTTCCGAAAAACATCCTCACAATGTTTTAGTATAGTCAATGTACTATGTGTACCGTACAATGTTTTGTCGATGTAATTTATTTTCACATGAAGTCATAAGCATATTACCCATTTGAATTTGACAAAGTTATTTATGTGTACAATTTTAATAACGCATACCTTCATTCAAAGTGAAATATTTACAATCCAAAGAGTTCAAGTTCTGATGTAATAAAATATGTAGGTATATACAACCACAATGAATTGTTGTGCATTTTTATATTTTACAGACATTTTATGATTATATTTATAATAAAACGGAAAACATTATAAAAAAAAAAAAAATCGATTTGATGCAGAAATGGGAAAAAAAGTCAAACTCCTATCATGCTGGCAGACAGTCGCGGCTGTGAAATACATGTACCTATACATACATTTTATGAACAATCACCGTATAACCGGTGTCGTTATTGTCTATTGGCACATCGTCACAACAGTTCTTCGTATATATATATACCAATTAATCGCTGAGCTTACTATACCAATAATACGTTCTATATTACCATAATTTAGAATACTATATATAGTGGAAAACAAAACTCGCACGCAAACCCAGAAAATACAGTGCTAACACCCATAGTGTTAGGATTGGAAAATAAAATAAGGTGCGACTAGAAGACTTGAAAAAAAATAAGCATCCCTTGATGATTGAACACGACTTGTGGTTCCTTACACCCTCAACTGTCAATCCTCAAACAAACAGTTACAATAAACGAATATGCCAGTAACGACTACTTATATAAGTGATTAACATTTTTATATTTTTGAACAATAGTCATTTATACAAATAAAAAAAAAAAATAACTAAATTAAATGTAATGTAATTTACGTTTTTTAAAATTAAAAATCAATTATTATATTTTATAGCTCTCATGCAGTATCACAGTAAAAATAAATTGCATGATTTGTCAAATTTAATTTGAATATCTAATTTAATACAATTATTTTGAGAAATTTAAAAAATAATCCACTGAGCAGAAAGATTTGTAAAACAAAACGTACCATCATCACCCATTCTAATGAAAAATAGTTAATAAGAGTACCTACTCTCAACATGTGAAAAAAAATAGGTGGAGGGACTCGTCATACTGCACCCCTCTTCACAATTGTAGTATTAATATTACCTTATGACGTATGGTATGCGGGATATAATAATATACTTAGTCATGGCCGCAGGGTGCTAGCGGATATTTAGTTATATTTTAGGGGTTGTTAATTTTTAGTTTTTACCAACTTAAACACATCATTCGTTTTCTTTATCATAAAATATAGTACCTAAAGTATAAGCAACAATACGAAAAACATACTATGAATTTCATTTAATGATGACCACGCATAATTTTTCTATATAACACTATAAAAGCAAAGACACAAAAATTAATGTTTCATTTTTAAATTTTTTTGTCATACCAAAGTAACCAAAGTAGAATCCAATTGATTTCCAAATAATTTTTAAATTGTTACAAATATTACCAATATTTTTCCAAATAGAGTAATTTCCAATATTACCAGTAATAAAATAATTATGTAATTAGGTTCTCGTCAAACGTGGACATTTCTGGGAGGACTCGGTAATCATTTCAGTGGCCTGAGCACTAAGCATAGGGGTAGTATGCTACGATTCATACGACGAAATGCGACGTGTTGTACGCCACTAGACTGTATCATCATTATCATCATCATCGACCATCGTAATAAAAATAATATTATTATATAATATATATCGCAGTAAATAAAAATGTGGTTTACACGTGCAGTAATAACCGTTTGTTTTGCATAATATAATAATATTGTTATAACGACGAAGACTCGATGTTACAAGTTGAAGGCTCTTCGCGGGCCAGCGTTCCATAATATTATAATATTATAGGTGCCGCCTCGTGATCGATTTGTCGAACAAAGAAAACTCGCACTACCGCCGCCTCCGCTGCCGCCGATAATATTATTCTAACCACCCTCTATAACGTGTATAGTGTATACTTATACCTAGGTATATTACGTATATATGTATATATATTTAATATCCACGACGACTACAACACACTGCGTACACGGCTGTGTATGGTAGTCCGCGAGCGGTAACGCCCGCGCGTTCGAGAAATCCAATCCCTCCGCGGTCGATCCGGTTACACGACGACAAGAAATGTTACACGCGCGCTTACAAAACGCACTTTCCTCGGCTGTCCGCCGTGTGCGTGTAAAACACATCATCTCCCGCACCTGAACCGCGAACGTCTCCCACCCTTACCGACACGCATCGCCACCCCCTCCCCTCCGCCGCGACCCTATTTTCTCCTCCCTAACCGATTTAGACAGATACACCAGCTCTCCTATAATATTGCTACTAGCTATACCGTGGTATACGCTATACGCTCTTATATTGGTATAATATTATTATATACTATCGGATGTCGTCCATTCCGCGCCCGCGAATCGTTCGTCTCCATAACGATATTATTAGGTACGGGTTTTCCTCCTCTTTCGAAGATAACCACCGCCGTTTTACACCGAAATATGCAACCCCCTCTCCCCTTTCCACTAGAAGAGCACTATATAAATACGACAATAAACCTCGCGTACACTGCAGTTACCTCAAATTAATGGATGTTACCGCCCAGAGCAGACGATTTCGAGTTCTCCGGGAAGCGGCACACGAAGAGCTTTCGAAACTCGATTATTATTATTATTAGGATTAGAATCACATTTTATTTATTATTATATTGTTCCGTGACGCGCGATTTATTCGTTTTCGAGGATAATCCTATTTCTACAGCGGTAACACGTCGTCATCCTATCTGGTTTCTCATAATATACTTCTTGAGTATTAGATCGACCGCAATGCCTACAACGTTTAATCCTATATATTATACACTATATTATATTGAATCAATAATTTTTTGCTACCTACTGCGCTAAATGCGGTGTTGGCGTCACAGGCGTTAAATTTAAATTTAAATAAAACCCAATGCGTAGTGTAATTCTTTCACGAATAAATTTCCACGTCAGAAATATATTAATAAAATGCGGTGTAACTTTTTGCCGAGGTTGCAAGGACAAAATTCAAAAGTAATACTGAAATTACGAGGTTTTTTTTTTGGAAAAGAATATTGTAAGTTTTTGAAATATATTCGACAAAATTCAAAAGTTTTTCTTTTTTTTCTCCGCTGAATTGCAAAAAAATAGCGTTTTAATATTACTTATTTTACGCACCATTCGTGTGGAAATAAACTTTTAATGACAAGCTGTCGGTGAGAAACGGTAAATTACCATATTACCTACGGGTTTACCGAGATATCAACAAACAACAGCGGCGTCTATTGTTTTCTCTTCATATCTTATTCCCTTGGTTATTTATCGTTACATCTATAAACGAAAAAATATCGAAAACATACCTGGTGGCAATTCTTCAATGGTAATGGCATGTGTTCCCAATACGACTAACGTCACATACACGGAAAACAGTCCGTACAAAGCCGGCGGCATTTTCAATGATCTGTAAAACAAAACAAATCAGTTTCCTTATTTTACTGTTTTTATTTGGTGAATTGAACGCGTATAGTGTACACATATAGGTACGCGGGGATACGCTTTGAATATTATCGGGGAGAGAGCTAAGTAAAAAAAAAAAATAACTGCACGACGGTGTGTGTATATCGAAGCAAGAGTTGCCTATTTAAACTGTGCAAAATACAAGTAAATTTGTTATACGACATAACTAATTTTTTAATGCATCAATCAACTCCCAGTAAACTCCAAAACATCAGAAATATTGTGTAGAACATGTTTTTGTAAAAATCATCAAAATCTTACCTTTAGAAATTAAGTTACAAATGAAAAAAAGCGAACTCTTTAATGGAAATTTATATTGAATTCAAAATCACGGTATCACAACAAAAATCCTTCGTATACTACCTACTTGTAAAAATGGCTAAGTTAAAAAAAATATAAGATCTTTAAACACTATAAAGATGTGATATCATGAATAAATCCTAAGTATATTGAATTTAAGTAAACTTATTTTGTTTTAATAATTTATTTACTTGGCGAGGAATTATTTAGAATAGTATATAAATATTAATAATAATATTTTTTAAATAATAATAAGTTATATTTTAATAGTCCTTCGCCAAGTTAATAAATTATTGAAACAAAATAAGTTTACTTAAATTCAATATACTTCGCATTTATTAATGATATCACATCTTTATAGTGTTTAAAGATCTTATATTTTTTTTACTTAGCCATTTTTACACCTAGTTTACGGAGGGTTTCTGTTGTGATTATATAATCTGTAGATTTATTAGGAATGTAAAGGATACGTCACGATAATAATATTATTATATTATGTATAAAATATTATGTACCTATACATAGCGAACAAGACATTTGTGAATAACCACATTACATCTGCGTTTGTATTCTATTAACCTCCTGCAATAACTCAGTAATCCAATCGAAGAACATTTTCATAGGAGGAAATTGAACCCGAGACACAATAGCTGTTGCACTGAAATTTATTGTTTTTATGATTTAAGGGAGCTGACCCAATCGGTTCAACTAGCAAGTGTGCGTTGTATACGCCACAGGGCACTGCAGCAATCTTTATACATATGTAATATATATATATATTTATAATGCTACTATAAAACATGTATGAAGATTTTTTTTTTTGACAGGCTGAGTAAATTTTTTTTTGGATATATTACACGTTGTTGGTCGGTGTTCTGTTCTGTCATTACTGAAGTTGTTCGCTATTCAACCATAAACGCATTAAATCATTTAAATGTTTCCGAATAAAAATGTACGGAAAAATAGATTTATTGAATTTAGTTTTTATATGTTGATTTTGACCTACTTACATTTTATTCATATCAATAAGTATTCAAATAGATTGTACTATGCTTAAACTGATTTTCTAATATACATATGATATATAGGTATATAAAGCTCTGAACAATATATAATTCATAACATGGGTACCTACAGTGGCGTAAATTTGGTCCAATTTCTGGTGGTGCAGAGGCATATTCTTAACCTATAATTTCCAACACAAAAATAATCCAACTTTCTAAGTAAAATCCTTCCTAACAAAAAAAAACTATATATTTATCCATACATTTTGTCAACATTTGAACTTCAAATGCTTATAAAAAAAAATTGTGGCTATGTATTTTTAATATTTTTCAACGCTATTGTAACAATATATCAGGAGCCTTCCATTAAATTTTCACGCTTTTTACCCAACAAATAAAATTTTATTGATATTTATAGAAAAAAAAACTAAAAAAATTAAAAAATGACAATGTCCGGAAACAGCTCAAAGAGAGTTAAAATATTTTCAAAACTTTGTGGTGTATAGAAAATTAAAATATAAATATATACATTTTCATGTATTTACAGTTATTTGTTCGAATAACAACAAATTAACAAAATCGCTACATGAGAAATCTAGTGAAAATCCAATCTTGTAAAAATATGATTTTCAAATGCTCATAAAAATTTAATTTGATTTACTTGTGGACATTTTTTTTTGATAAAGGCGTATACAAACTTATGAATAATCTTGTATTACATTTTAAAATATTAGATTTGAAAAGAAACATTTTTATGATTTTTTCAACTCAAATTATATTGTTAATTTTCGTGATTTTTCTGTATTTTGTCAAGATTTGAACTTTAAATGCTTATAAAAAAAACTGTGACTAAGGATTTTTAATAATTTTCTAATTTCATTGTAACAATATAGTTGGAGCCTTGTATTAAATTTCCAAGCTTTTTTACCCAAACAGTGAATATTTCAATTATATTTGTATATGTTCATTTGTTTGGTCAAAAACCCAAATCGATTTTGTCGAAAACCGATTTCGGGTAAAAATTCCTGTTTTTCCTTAATTTTTATGTTGTTTTTCCTGGCGCTTATGAAACCTGTAGAGAATTTTAAAATTCGATTCAATACGACGTCTAGCTGTCATCTGACATTTGACTTTTGAGAATTGAATGAACATTGATCCAGTGATAACACACCATTTTGGCGGTAGAATGTTGATAGCAATATAATTTTACCATATTATACGTCTATTCTGTGCACGATTAAAGATATAATATCTTTAATCGTGATTCTGTGATACTGCCATAATAAAATACAAAATTCTGTGGATAGTGGTTATCATAGATAATAATCTAACTATTTATGGGGGTTGTACGATATTTTAGAATATAGACAGGGTAATAATTTAAATGATAATGTCTAATACATGCACGAAAATAACTATTTTGTACCTCTTTATATGTATATTATATATTTCAATGATTTTCTGGTGGTGCAAAAACATACCTTTGCACCACCACATTTTAGATGTGGTGGTGCAAGTGCTGCATTTGCACCACCCAGTTTACGCCACTGGGTACCTATACCCTGTCAAACATACAAGTTGAGCAATATTGTGCATTACCTATACATAGAATGTATATCGAATAGTTTAGGTATCAGGTATATTAGTCAGATATTATAATATTATGATGTCAAGGGAAAATATATATTCTAATTTTTAATTACTGTTGTTGAATGTTCAGATTGTATATTATATACCTACGTTATAATTACGTATTTAATGCTTATTAATAGGTATGCCGTATGTATATTGTAAACAGCAAATTAATAGTTGTTATAATCTAAGTTTTGAAACTAGATTATTACCTATACCTAGCTTAGAGTAGTTAATGTACTTACAATAACTATATATTATTTTCTGTTTTACGATGATTTCCAGAAAAGTTTTCATAACTATAGTCTATAGGATTAATAATTAAACTGCAGACATGACATTACCAAGTATCGAAGAAATAAAATATAATACCATAACAAACTGACGCGTGACGTGTCAATTTTTTTGTAATAACAAAATATACATATAAAAAAAAATAATAAATAAAAAAAAATAGATATGACATTTCATCGTACAACCATAACATACTATTATTGTGTTATAAATTCTTTGTTGCCAATTCTGAAGAAAAAACACTTGTCACACGCGCGTTGAATTGCAGTGTTATAATACTGGTTGGTCGTTTAAGACACATCATCTGGCGTCTTTTCAAGTCACGTAAGTACAAACATACACAAAGACGCGCACACCACAATTAAGAGTGGCATTAAAAACAATATTTCGAGGGATGTTTTGCGGTGCAACACGACTGGAGACCACTATAATATATATTATATTAATTCGAGTGAAAAGGGGAAATCACAATAAAAAAAAATGATAACGAGTGTACGGGCGACGGACCGGAAACAGAGATGGCATAGTCGGTCGTGCTGGGTGCCTGTGTGCCACTCGTTATGGCAGCAACAGCGATGGTTACTCATACACACACACACACACACACACACACACAACGGATTACATTTTAAAATGCAACCATCCCTCTCCGGCCGCAACCCCCCACCCCGACTCGTTCCACCTACTCCCGGCGGCGGTTATAGTCATAATGATGATAATAATAATAATAATGCTAAGAATATACCACGGTATGTTTTAATATAACTCCGGACGGCCCGGGATATTTTAAATATGCAAAGTGGCGTTTTGTCCTGGAATTGTTCGGAGGGTTCCGGTGCAATAATAATCCCGCGTAAACCCGAATAGTTTCACCTCCTTCCACTCGTGTTTAAACACCGAAAATTAATAATTTAACGCTCATAATACCCAAACCGTTTACGTGGCCAAGTCGGACTTTTTTCTTTACTTTTTTTCTTTTTTTTTTCATTATTATTAAGCTTTTATTTTCTCGTACGAGCCATTTACGTGTGTAGAATTTAGACGCGAGCTGAACGATAATTTAACCGCTACAAATATGCACATGCGGGATCGTATTATACGCCGTATCATAGTAGGAATATATTTAAGACCGCTATCTGCAGCTGTAAAACCAATTAAATATGGAATAATTGATGTTAGCGTTAAGGAATTTATTTAAGTTTGAATGTACTACCCACGAGAATCAATTACACAAATTAACTTCCTAAATACTTACAGTCTTAAAATAATTTTGAAATTACCTAACCTTTTTGACAAATATTTAATTTAGTGACTACGAACTTATAAATAGAGTATACCTTAAACATCACTTTGAAGTCATCATTTCATAAATATATCACAAAATATCATACTAGCTACTACCAACAAAATTACGTTGTGATAGTATATCTACTATAATATTGGCTAACAATATACCGAATTTATATTTTAATACAATAATAAAATTACTAACATTAATATGTGTTTAAATGAAAAAAATAATAATACCTAATTGAATATAGAAACGGAAATTGAAATGACTAAGAATATTTTATCTATTACAGTTAATATAACATAAAATGTCTCCAATGAAAATATATTTTAAATGAAAAGTTGATCGCATAAATAATTTTGTAAAGTTTTAATTTATTATTTATACTCTTATTTGTTTAGTTTGTGCAATGTTGCCTATATT